GGAGATCTTTATCTGGAGTGCTATTTGATAAAAGAATCCCACACAAATTAAAGGGAAAAATTTACAGTTCCATAATACAACCAACTATTCTATATAGTTCGGAAACATGGCCAACCAAAGAATCAGACGAGAGAAGTCTACAAACCATGGAGATGAGAATGCTGAGGATGATTGCTGGGGTAACAAGAAAGGATAAAGTGCGCAGTACAAGAATACTAAGTAGTTTAAAGGTAGTGCCCATTAAGACTAAGTTAATGGTAAATAGACTTAGGTGGTATGGGCACACAATGAGAAGGCCTATGAACTACATAGGAAATAAAGTTAAGAGTTTGGAAGTGATGGGCAAACGTAAAAGAGGAAGGCCAAAACTTCAATGGGACCATAAAGTTAGAGCCAATATAAAGAAGTATAAATTAGATAAAAGAGATTGTATTAATAACATAAAGTGGAGAGAGATGTTAAAGGAGCTTACCACCAGAAAAGGTGAAAGCTAAAGAGAAAAAAAAAATAAAAAAATAAATTACCCCCCCCCCCCCTTAGACCAAATTCCTGCGTACGCGCCTAATAAAATATACTAATATCTATTTAATTAAATAGCCTCAATTTTCAATATTTAAAATAACCTTCTCAAATGGTGAAAGACTTATAAACGACTTTCCCGTTTTAACAGTTTTGGTTCTTAATCCTGTCAATTCCTGCTTCCTCGGCTAGCAGTGAAAGAGCGCTTTCAGCGGCTGGTAGGATTTGAAGATAGGAGGACTGTTTAAAGCCTGACAAACTCGACTCGTCATTATTTATATATCACGTAACACCATGCGCGTACGCAGGAATTTAGTGTGGGGGGGGGGGGATAATTAAAATGTTTTAAAATATAATTATTGTTATTTAAAAATATCAAGCATAAATTTATTAGGACTAATAACTATTTCTAATATACAAATTTAAATTAATATGAATTATAAAAAATTAAATATATAAACCGGTATATAAAAATAAATTTGAAATAAAAATTATTAAACGGATATAACCGGCGGCATATAAATACTTTAAATAAATCTGAATTATAAAATATTAAGTAGATATAACCAGGATATGAATGACTATAAAATAAATAACCCATAATAGAAATTTAAATTTTTTGAGCCTTTAAAATTTATATATAAAGTATAAAAAATTTTAATGAAATATGAATAATTAATTTATGTAAAAGAAAAATATATAAGACATAAAAAAATGATTGCACAAAAAATATTATAGAAACATTATATTTTTATAATGTAAAATCCAATCTTCGTTGGGATTGAGCTAATTTTTCAATTATCTCATCCGTGCTTGGCGTCAAATTAAAGAAGAGAATGTTCTCTCATTAGTTGCAGTACTAATGGGAAGAGTTGCTAATATATATAAAAATTTAATATATTGGGAAAATAATCTAAAAGATGTTTGAAATGATGCAAAGCATCCATACCATTTTTTGGGACTATATCAACCATAGTTAATCTTTTATACCATAGTTAGCATTCAGTTAATAAAGCATCATGAGATACATTAACGTCTTCATGATAAAAATCTGCCAAATATTTTATTTTTTTCTATCACCATCTGAAAAAGGTTCAGAGGGCTTTTGCGGAAGTAATAACTGCAGATTGGTAAGTGCAGCTTGATGAATTAAAAACCGTTCATTAAATTGGGTTATATATGTATTCAAAAGAGGTACAAAGACATTTATTTTATAATATTCTTCTATTGACCCTATATTAATATTTGGACGATAAGGTTGCCTTGCTGCAAGTCGAGGGAGACAAATATTGAACTCGTATAGCTTTGCTTTTGATTTAACACTAACATATAAAATATGAAATTCCTCATCAGCATTAGCTCTAATTTTCTTGAGTTCTAATAAAATTGTCTGCTATTCTCATCATCTCAATCAAATCAATATCAGGTTTTTGAAAAGTATTACATAAAATAGTTGTATAATTAAATAATTTATTAATACATTCTAATGCGAAAAAAAAATTTGGTATAAGTATTGAATCCAGTAACTTGCTTGCTTCTGAAGAAATATCTCTTTCAGACCATTGTGATATTTCTGTAAGAGCATTAATAATCGGCTCTTCTAACTCCATAAAAGCTGTTACTGCTTGATGTCGAAGACTCCATCTTGTTGGACAAGCTTTTTGCAATTTTTTTCTCCTTGTTGGGCAAGGAGTTTCAGATATAATTCTGTTCAAAATATTTTAAAGCTTGGGGTATCTAAACATCTCATGGATGCTAGATATTTTACCTATATAAATATAAAAAATTTAATTTAAATAATTAAAAATATACCTAAGCAATTTGATATCAATGGTAAAGAACATGAATCCGATATTGCTAAGTTGTGTGAATGGGTAGCACAGTGGACATATATAGCTGTTGGGCATTTTTTTTAATAAATGCCTGAAGCCCATTGAATTGCCCACTCAATGTACGTGTTCCATCATACTCTTGCTCACGTATCATATTTATATTAAGCTATATTTTTGAAAATAATTTTATAATAAGATTAATTATTACTTTTAATTTTTTAAGATTCTCAAAATTACATCAGCTAAAGCAGACCCAGTCATGCTTGAAACAGGAATAAATTGTAGAAACGTTTCCTTGATAATGTTATTATGTGTGTCTACAAATCGCGCACACAATGACATCTGCTCAATGCCAGCAATGTCCGTGGTCTCATATGCCAAAATTAAGAAGCATGGGGCAGAATTGATTTCAGCAATCAATTTTTCGAAAATGATATTGTTGCAAATATCAATTATTTCATTTTGTATCCTAGGGCTAAGATAGGTAGCATTTTTATTGCCATTAATGAGGCTCTCCATTAATACAGGATCTCCTAATGCTTTAAATTTTAAAAGTCCACGAAAATTACCTTCGTTATCATTATTATTAAAATTTAAGCTTCCTGAATCCTTGTGGCCACGTAATGCTAGGCCTTGCAAGCCACAATATAAAATAGCCTCAATAGTTAGTTTTTTGCGATTTTAACCCTGTTTTTATCAATAAGTGATGAAATGGGTTTTGCTAAAAATATTTTAATATTAAAATTTTATTAATTATACTATACTTTTTGGCTTTTTGGTAGATTTTTACTATCTTCAGTGTTTTTAAAAAAAAGTCTAATATCCATGACTAGAAATTTGAAAATGGTGAAAAAATATAATACCGGGAAATTGATAAATATTACGCCAAGGAAAACTTGAAAATGAAATTAATTGATAAAATAAATTAGTAAATGAAAAAGGTAATAATATAAAAATTTAAAAAGAAAGAGATATGAATAAATATAATAAAATATAAACAATAATATTTTTGAAAAATATATCGGCATCTGCATTTTTTGGATGGGGGGGGGGGGGGGGGGGGGGGGGGGGGGGTTGTCCCCTTCCCCGCTGCGTACGCCAATGCGTGACACTATTGACAATGACATGATATTGATATATCTTTATAATATCATTATATCATGCATATTATTTTTATATAATCGCAATAATTTTTAAATTTGATTGTATTTCAACTTTTTAATATTTAACCTGAATAAAAGGTATATACTTCCAATTTAAAAAAATACAACTTAATATAATATATTACATTATGGAGGAAAATAAACTTTTAATTAAGATAATACACATAATTTTTAATTGTTTTTTGGATATTATAATAATCACACTCAAATTTTAAAAAATTTGGATTAGGGTATAATTGAAAAAAAAAAATAAGTCGAAAATTTTTTTTTATAATTTGGGCTCGGACTGTGATAAAATCACTTTGCAGACCTCTACACATCTATCATTATTTCAAAAATTATAAATCAAGTTATCGAAGATATAATTTAAGAAAATCGAGCATATTAAATGGAAAATTAATTGAACTCACCCAACAGGAACATACTAATACCAATAATATAATTAATGAAGTGTAAAGATAACCACAAATTTATATGTGACTATGTAGTAAGTAGTGTTGTTAAACGGCTCGTTTTGAGCCGATTTTTAAAAACGGCTAACTCAATACTTAGCCAGAAAAATATCGCCTAAACCTCAAAATTTAACTAATATATGGCTAGACCTTTGTGCCTTCTATGAACAAAATCTTCAGACTTGCTTAATATTTTTCTGGATAAAATATTTAGTTAGCCGTTTTTAGGCTCAAAACGAGCCGTTTAACAACATTACTCTGTAGTATCATTATCTAATTTGGTCAAGCATAATTCAATATCATATTCATTTAGTAAATCTAGAAAGATGATTGATAATGAAATGAAAATAATATATAAAAAAATTAACTAGAATTGAAAATAATAAGAAAAAATATATTAAAAATAAAGGAATGTTGTTTAAAAAATCTCTATTCTAAAATATTTATTTTTTTATTTCATTGATGTCATCTAAAATTTAATAAAAATTACATGTCATCTATAAAGTATTATACAAACAGAAAACAAAAAGAAATTATGAAAACTGAAAAACAATAACTCAAAAAGCACCATAGTTTTCAAATTATAAAAAGAAATCTCAAAAAAATTTAATAATCTATTATGCTGTTAAAGAAATGCATCCATTATCTTATTTAATCCTTGATAAATTTTGATCTTTAAACTTTAAAAAAAATATCTTCCATCTTAGATATTTTTTTAAAATAAGTTATAAGTATCTTCGTTGGAAAATTAAATTCTTTAACAATATTTTCAAAAATGCAAATACGAATAATTTTAAATTAAATTATAAGAATAATTTCGAATAATAGATAAAAATTATTCCATGGATAATAAATTTTCCTTATTCATATTAGGATTTAATTTTGTCATTCATATTCGTTAAATACTTATCAAATCGAATAAAAAATTTTGTTTTAGGTCTAGATCAAGGATTCAGTTTGAATATTAAACAAGTTAAGAATTTCTAGTATGCCATTTGTGAAGGATATATGTAATTTGAAATATTGGTTCTTACTTTTATCGGGGTTGTAATTTATAAACCGGTTAAACAGTTCGTGGTAAAATGGAAATTCTTCAGTTGTTGTGTAAGGTAAAATGTCATCGTGACTAACGTAATCCAAACCTAAATAATAAAACAAAACAATTTTATTCATAATCAATTGTCTAATAAATAAATAAACGAGAAAGGGGGGGGGGGTATAAATGAGATCTTGAACTTCTAGAGGTTACTTTTTCAACCGAATAAGAAATGAATGAAATAATTTTAAAAAGTAAAAAAAATAAATGAGTTAAAGTTCTAAAATATTACCTGGAACAGCATAGAGGGATGCCCTACTATTTTGTTGTCCACCTAAAAAGGTAACAGATTCTGATTGTTGACCCTGACAAATTAATAGATTTAATTGGTTGATTATTTGACAAATGGATTTTATAAAATCAGTTTTAATAGTAACCGTTATAAATTTTAATTAGAAATATTTGATCTCGTTTTATAAGCAACCATTCCCGGAAATCAAGGTAATAAATCCTAAAAACTTTATATTATTTTTTTTATTTTTTTTACTATAAAAGGCCAGTCCCTGGAATCTATGAGGACCTGGTAATACGTTTGTGAGTAACCTTTTTTTTGTCAAAAAATAGTTATAATTTTTGTTAAGAAATAATATGCAATTTATAAGAATTCATTTATTTGAAATAAAATTTATTTTGATATAATCAGTGTCGAATCGAATTTTGGAAACCGCACCGAACCAATATAATTTAATTTTTAACTGAACACTGAACCTGCACCGAACCGTTTTTAAAAATTAGTCAACCGAACCTTTATAAACTTTAAACAGGTTCAAGTAGATTTCTATTTTCAGGCGTTTTTTTTCATATAGGTTTTTATTTTATAAATAAGAAATCATATAATATTTTATTGTTTAGTAAATTTATTCTATGCGTTATTATATTTTAATTTTTTTTAAAATTTTTATATAGTATGATATAATCTGCAATATATTATTACACATAAATTAAAGGAGAAAATATAGTTCCATACTACAGCCAAATATATTCGGAAACATGGCTAAGCAAAGAATCAGAAGAGAAAAGTCTACAGACAATGGAGATGAGAATGCGAAGGATGATAGCTGGGGTATCAAAAAAGGATAAAATACGGAATACAAATATAGTAAGGAATTTAAAGGTAGTACCCATTAAAACAAAGATCATGATGAACAAACTCATGTGGTACGGATATAGGATGATATGACCTAAAAACTATATAGGAACCAGGTTAAGAGCCTTGAAGTAGGTTAACGAACGAGAGTATGATCAAATCTCCAATAAGCCAACAAATTTAAGGATCGCAAAATTTAAATTGAATAAAATGGATTGTATGAATAATATTGTTGTGATTATCGTGTCAATCGACAAAATGTTTTTTAATATTCAAATTTTTAATTATTAAAGTTAATCGAATTGTAAAAAAAGAAGAAAAAGAAAGGTTTTTTCAAATTGTTAAAATATATTGTACGAAATTAAAGGAGAATTTTGCCAACATAAAATTAATTCAAATCCCGGATAAACCCCCAGATTTTTTTTTCATGTTTATAAAATTTACTTAAGACCTAATAATAAAAGCATATTTTTATTTGCAATATAATGAATACACTCATATTTATAAGATAAAGACAAATTGGTATTTTAGAAAAAAATATTAAAAATATATTTATTAATAAGCTAAAAGAATTTAGAATCTAATTCATTATTTAAAGATTTCTTATATATCCTCCATGAAAAATGCGATAAAATGCTGATGTTTAAAGTGGTACTGGGAAAAAACCCCCATAAAAAAACCATGTATTTAATATTTTGGTAAAAATTATTGCTATAATAATAAATACAATACCCATCTACAATTACGATATTAAGTACAAAATTTTGTAAAAGATATATTTATTTTATTGGTAAATAATCATTATGTACATATATATTAGCGGCAATATGTAATTTATGTATACATACATTGCCTGAATATTTTCGGCAATGTGAGTTAGTGGTAGGCAGGGTGATTTTAATTCTATTTTACAAATTAATAAATTTATTTGAGATTAATTTATTATTTATTTAATATTAATTTATTATTATAAATTTATTTATATAATTTATAGATTTTGTTAGATATATTTTATAAATAATATTTTTAAGATTGTTAAGGTATTTTCAATTTTTTTAGCTTTTGATCACTATTTTGTGTTAGATGATTTTTTTAATAATATTTTTTGAGATAAAATATTTTCCTTCTTTAAAGAGCTGGGGAAACGGATCTCTACTAGGACCGAAGATCCCAACGAGGGTTACTACCTACGTCAAAGATTAGCCCTCAATATAATAAAATCCAATTACCTCAGCTTCATATTCTCAATGACTGATACCCCCTAATTACTTACAATTTATATCTAAATTTTATTCATTAATTAATATTGAATTTATGATTTTATTTTTATATTTAGTATTTGTAATATTATTTTTTTAAATATATTTTTTAAATGATTTTTTATATATTTATTTTTTCCGTAATTTTTTTAAATATATTTTTTGAGATAATATATTTTAAATTGTTATATTATTTTTTAAATAAATTTTTTGATTGGTACTTTTTTTAAATATATTTTAATTTGTTATATTATTTTCTTAAATATATTTTTTGATTGATTTTTAATATATATTTATAAAATGATTTTTAATATATATTTATAAAATGATTTTTTATATATTTATTTTTTACTTAAATTTTTTCTTAATATATCTTTTGATCGCTAAATATTTTTTATTTTTTGTGTTATATGATTTTTAAGTATATATTTTTAAAATTATTTTTTACGTAAATTTTTTCTTGATATATCTTTTGATCCCTAATTTTTTAGGTAAAAGTGACAAATGTCATAATCGTTATTTTTGAACTTTTTGATAAAGTAAATAGGTAAAAATATGTTTTGTAATTATGTTAAATCAATATTTCAGTAAAGGTGTACAGAAAAGTGACAATTGTCTTAATCGTTATTTTACTTTTTTGAGTTTTTTTAATGTAAATATAGGATAAAATATGTTTTGTAAACATGTTAAATTAAAATTTCAATGAAGGTGTACTATAGAAAAGTGACAATTGTCATAATCGTTATTTTTGAACTTTTTTGAGTTTTTTTATAGTAAATAGGTAAAAATATGTTTTGCAAACATGTTAAATTAAAATTTCAGTGAAGGGGTACTATAAAAGTGACAATTGTCATAATCATTATTTTTGAACTTTTTTGAGTTTTTTTAAAGTAAATAGGTAAAAATATGTTTTGCAAACATGTTAAATTAATATTTCAATGAAGGTGTACTATAGAAAAGTGACAATTGTCATAATCGTTATTTTTGAACGTTTTTGAGTTTTTTTAATGTAAATAGGATAAAATATGTTTTGTAAACATGTTAAATTAAAATTTCAATGAAGGTGTACTATAGAAAAGTGACAATTGTCATAATCGTTATTTTTGAACTTTTTTTAAAGTAAATAGGTAAAAATATGTTTTGTAAACATGTTAAATAAAAATTTCAGTTTAGATATGTTTTATATTTTATAGACACTAACAGTAATATCAAAAATAAAATTCCTAAATTCGCTTTTATATATATTCATAATTAATGATGAGTTATTTTCCTGCAAATCGTCAATGTCTTGATTTGATTAAACTCGAGATTTTATTATGAATACATTTATCACTTCAAATGATAAAAAATTCCATTATTATGATTAAACTTTAATCTTCATAGCATCAGAAAATGTTTTTTTAACATAATTTATAATAAGTAGGCCGATGTATAATTAAAATATTTTTAAGATTAATTTATTTTTTTCAAAAACTAACTGCGAAATATATTTAAATATAGAATCCTGTATCGGTTATTTGTATATCAACTAACTAAAATATCTTTGACTTATTTATTTCAATTCTGTGAGTAAATATATTTTAAATATTTATTCACTTTAGTGAACGATCTAGAATTACAAGTTAGAGCTAATATTGAAATGTAAATCTATCAAAGTATTAAATAGCTTTTCGAAATACATTTTCAATAATATATTTATAAACGAAATAAATTTTAACATTTTTCAATGTTGCATTATAGCGCACATTAAATACTTTTAGCTCTCATATTTAAATTTATTTTAAACAATTACTAAGATTATATTCAAACAATATAAGTTTATCATTTTTTTCGAGAAATGAAGGCCTTTGGGAAATTTTTTTTACTAAATTTTATTGAATAATGCTAGGCTCTCTCTTTAAAGGCCTTTGGCCAGTTTATGCTTTAAATTTTCTTTGGGTTTATACTCTTTTTTATAAATTTTTTTATATTTTTGTGAACCATATACGCACTTTTAGTTTTTTGATAGGGGTAAATTCTTTATTATTTATAAATAATATTTACCAAATCAGAGAAATTTGAATGGGTGGGAATTTTTTTTTCCCCAAAAAATTTCAAAAATAACAATTATGATAATTGTCACTTTTCTATAGTATACCTTCACTGAAATATTAATTTAACATGTTTGCAAAACATTTTTACCTATTTACTTTGAAAAACTAAAAAAAAATTTAAAAATAACAATTATGACAATTGTCACTTTTCTTACACCTTCACTGAAATTTTAATTTGTATTTACTTTAAAAAAACTCAAAAGTTCAAAAATAACAATTATGACAATTGTCACTTTTCTATAGTACACCTTCATTGAAATTTTAATTTAACATGTTTACAAAACATATTTATATCTATTTACTTTAAAAAATTCAGCAATAACGATTATGACATTTGTTACTTTTACCTAAAAAATTAGCGATCAAAAAATTTATAATAGAAAAAATTACGTAAAAAATAATATATTAAAATATATTATCTTGAAAAATATATTTAAAAAAATTACGTAAAGAATAAATATATAAAAAATCAGGGTAGGTCTATAAGTCGAAAGGCTTGGTAATACGAAAGGCAAAATAATATTGAAATAAAAATAACAAAGAAAATGATTAATGAGATATTTGATTGATTTATTGCTTTTTTGAGAAAAAATATAATAATAACATTATATAATAATATATTAAAAATATGGAAATTTTAAGATCTTTTCAATTTTTTAAAAAATTCTTTGAAATAATTTGCATTTAATTTTTAAATTAATATTTTTAATTAAATTAATTTTGGTTATGATTTTATATATTAAGTAAGTATAAATATATTGTAATTACTTGATAAAGAAGTAAATAAATATAAATTTTTTTAAGGTTTTTTTTAATTTGCGAAAGCATTTAAGACAAAAGGCTAACATCTTAAACGTAATTTTGAATATAATTATATCATTGAACCCAGATTTAAATTTCCTATCCAAAACCGTTTAAATGTATTTTTTTGTGTTTAATAATTATTGGTCGCGAAAGCATTTTAGAGGGGAAAGGCTTTTTGAACCGGAAACGCAAAAAATTACATATAAACGGTTTAGGATAGGAAAATTAATTCTGAGTTCAATGATATAATTATATTCAAAATTACGTTTAGGATGTTAGCCTTTCCCTGTTAAAATGCTT